ATGAGCAGGCGTGGCGAGTAGATTACAAGCCGGCACAGCCAGTGCTGCGCAATCTGCGCATGCGCAGCTCACAGAACCGCGAGGCTGGTGAGCGGGGCTCGCTGCCGCTTGGCGAGCCCTGTAGATGAGCACAGCTTTGACAAGTAATACCACTGCCCACTAGTGCAGAGTGCATTCGGTGGGGAGGAGTGGGGGGAGAGAAGCAATTTATACCAGTGTTTCTTAAACTATGTTCTGCAGACCACTCGCAGGTGTGCCGCGACCTCTTCTTTTGTCTTTTTTTGTCTGACAATTTTTTTTTTTTTAAGAAAATTTTCATAGGTGTTGTGCATAAAAAAATATTATTGTTTGGTGTTCTGTCATCTCAAAAAGTTTAAGAAACACTGATTTATACTACTGTTCCCCAGGGATCAATGCCACAGCAAATTCACACTCCACCTAACATTTAAGATATAACCAGAGGTCTACAGCCAGCTATTTAAGTAAAGGGTGGGGGAAATTAATAGCACATCACTCAGCAGTTGCTGCCAGGCCCTATTATTGGCCATTACTGACCACTTTAGGGGCTATGTTACCTGTCAGTCTCAGCAGCACCACAGGATGCTGACTGCAGGGGCTCTGCACCCTGGGTCAAATCAACCCTGAACTGAACCCATTAATTTAAACACCAGAGAAATCAATGCACTGAAACACTTATCTTCAGCAAAATGACAAAAATATCCTTCTTTAATCCAAATACACAAATACATATCTCTAAATAACTGCTCATAGCAAAAAGTCTCTCTTACCGTGGTCCACATGAGCCAGTATACAGATATTCCTGATACTGGCAGGCTTATTCTGGAGCCCAATTATCTTCCCCAAATTAGTGAGAACCATTATTACCTATTTCTGGGAAGAAGGAAAAAGCATTTTATATTAGCATCATGATTCAACAAACATTTGATTTTTTTAAATGCACAGTTTATAGTCCAGTTTACATATAAATAGCCACTAAGCCTAAACCTACCCACAGGCAGTACTAAGATAGCTAATAAATTATGTTTCTATAGCACAATGCACTCCAAATCAGATACCAAAGAGATTTACAAACAGAATGGAAATTTTTCCATTCGAGATGTAATGTCCACTAAACTGAGCAGAATCACACACGCAGTTAAAAAGGGTCAGTAACTTTAGCATCCTCCATGCTTTATTTAAAATATAGTTAAACAATCCCTGTGGTGACTCTGACTCATAGATCTCTCTTTTTTCCAGGTGCTTTCTTTGTGTGTCTGTCAGTATTCTGCATACATTAATACACTTGATTGTTTCCCCAGACAGCTGATCCTGCAAACAATAAAATAAGCATGCCACACTATACTAGCACCAGTGTCATCAGAGGGATGATTCATGAGTAAAGTAAGCCAAGTTAGTCTGTACAGGATAAACTTAAAAAAACAACAAATAGTCTGGTAGCACTTTAAAGACTAACAAAACATATAGATCGTATCATGTAAGTAAGGTCCTTCGGCAGTTTCATCATGTGAGTGTTAACAGGGCAACAGAAAAATCATTTTGAAAGGAGGATTGTAA